TACAGTTCTCCTTTATTTGTGTCTGTAATACTTTTTGTCTTCATGGTACTCTTATTCCATTTTCCTCTGGGGTTTTTGTTTATGGAAGGCTGTCTACTTACACGGGGATGAAGGAAGAAGCGCATACCTCTGATCCTGCCATCTTGCTGATGTCACTCACATTTTTCTTTTGACTGTGATTTCATTTGTCCTTTGTTGTTCTACCACAGTATTGACCCTCCATGTTCTTTGCATCATTTATTGCAAGCAATGCCTCATCACAGAAGAAACACGACTTTATGAATGACACAGTGGACCCCAGGCAATCTTTCTTTGGGGAAGGGTCATTGGGGAGGAATTCACGACAGGCCTTTGTTATATTCATAGGTAGAAAGCCAGTGTTTTGTTACACTTGTTCATTCCCCAACGAATTATGCTTGTTTGTGCTTATTGTTGATACTTTGCCAACTATTTAGTTCTAATTATGATCATCTGTACTTAGAGTCCCAGATCACAGATAACCTTCACCTGTCTTGACTTTGCACCTCTGCCTCTTTCACAGTTCTCTTTTTACTGCAAGCCAACCTTGGTCCATACCTGCAGCATCTTGGAGAGCACACGTGTTATTATATTGAAGTTGTATATCCTGTGATCTACTACAAATAATTTTTATGGCTTTGAGTAGCTTGAAATTATTCCACAGAGACTCACATGGTCAGAATGTAAAGTTCTAATGGAAGCCGTTTGTGCAAGAACAATGAGTAGAGCCTTCCTCTCTTGTTTGTATCTACTCATATGCGTCTGTCCCTCTCTTGGTGAGATTTCCATCATCGACTGACTTTAGGGGCCACGTTATTTATAACAGCAGTTTTCTCACTGTCTAACTCACTCATCTTGAAAATCTTTCTAGCCGAAACCGGTTTGGCTCAGTGGATAGAGCGTCGGCCTGCGGACTTTAAGGTCCCAGGTTCGATTCTGGTCAAGGGCATTAAATGTATTTTATTGATGGTTTTACAGAGGGGAAGGGAGAGGGATAGAGAGTTAGAAACATCCACGAGAGGGAAACATCAATCAGCTGCCTCCTGCACACCCCCCACTGGGGATGTGCCCGCAACCAAGGTACATGCCCTTGACCAGAATCAAACCTGGGACCCTTCAGTTCAAAGGCCGATGCTCTATCCACTGAGCCAAACCCATTAGGGCAAAACAGGACTTTATTAATGACACAGTGGACCCACAGGCAGTCTTGCCTAGGAGAAGGGTCTTTGGGGAGGAATTCTCGGCTGGCCTTTGTTATAGTCATAGCTAGAAACCCAGTGTTTTCTTACGGTTGCCCATTCCTCACCCAATTAATGTGTGTTTGTGCTAATTGTTTTTATTTAGCCAACTTCTCAGTTCTAATAGTGATCCTTTCTTGGATTCCCAGCCCACAGATAACGTTCACCTCACTGGACTTTGCACATCTGCCTCTTTTACTGGTCTCTCTTTACTGCAAGCCAACGTTGGTCCATGCCTGCAGCACCTTGAAGTGCACACATGTTATTATATGGATGTTGACCGTCATGTGCTCCAATACAATTAATTTCTATGACTTTGAGCAGCTTTAAATTATTCTACACAGACTCACATGGCCAGCATGTAAGGTCCAAATAGAAGCCATTGGTTCAGGAACTTCCTCTGTTCTTTGTATCCCGTCCTGTGCTTCTGTCCCTCTATTGGTTTGTTTTACATCATCGACTGACTTTTGGGGCCACGATATGTATAACAGCAATTTCCTCAGAGGATACCTCACTGGTCCTTAAAATCTTTCTATGGCATCATGCCTAGTCATGACAGATAAACATTCGTGGTGAAGATACTTTGTTTTGATGGGATCGACACATACTTCACCAGTGTTTCCTTTTGTTCAGGTTGCTGCTGTGGAGCAGAGAATGTGGAGGCAGCGACTGAACAGAAGGTTTCTGTAAGAGTGTCACAGGAAACGAATCCCACGTTAGCCTTGTCTTCCCAGAAGAGCCACCCCTGTGAGAGTTGTGGACTAGTCTTGGGAAACATTTTCCACGTGATGGAGCTGCAGGGAACACAACACGGACAGATACTGTTGAAGTGTGGGGCATGTGCAACACGGTTTTATTTCACTGTAAAATTTCACCAGCAGCATGTGAGAAAGAAGTCTTTCATTAGAAGTGTGGACAGAATCTCACTTGCAAACAGCTGCAAGTTCAATGTGTCCCAGAATCGTTTCACCTGCAGGAAAGTTGGGCGGGGTGTCCTTACCCAATCAGGACATCTCCACCTAAAGGCCCCTCAGACCAGGGACAGTCCAAATGGTATTTCAACTCCTGAGATGATGTTTCAAAGGAGAGAAAATTGTTACACCAGGAAAGAATATAAGAAAGACATTAGTTGCACCCACATGTTTATTGAGGAAAAGGGGGTTCATGTTGGAAAGCGATGTTTTGTGTGCTCTGAATGTGAAAAATCTTTTGCAACTAACTCTCACCTTCGTAATCATCAGAGAGTTCACACAGGAAAAAAGCCTTATCAATGCACTGAATGTGGGAAAACTTTTACCACTAACGCCAAACTTCGTAGACATCAGAGAGTCATCAGAGAGTTCATACAGGAGAAAAGCCTTATAAATGCACTGAATGTGGGAAATCTTTTACAACTAAGGCCTACCTTCACAGTCATCAGAGAGTTCACACTGGAGAAAAGCCTTATAATTGCAGTGAATGTGGGAAATCTTTTACCAGTAAGTCCTACCTTCGCACTCATCAGAGACTTCATACAGGAGAAAAGCCTTTTAAATGCAGTGAATGTGGAAAGTCTTTTATCACCAGCACTATACTTTATCGTCATCAGAGAGTTCATACAGGAGAAAAGCCTTATAAATGCACTGAATGTGGGAAATCTTTTACAACTAAGGCCTACCTTCACAGTCATCAGAGAGTTCACACTGGAGAAAAGCCTTATCAATGCAGTGAATGTGGGAAATCTTTTACTGCTTGGGGTGCACTACAATATCACCAGAGAGTTCACACTGGAGAAAAGCCTTATAATTGCAGTGAATGTGGGAAATCTTTTACCAGTAAGTCCTACCTTCGCACTCATCAGAGACTTCATACAGAAGAAAAGCCTTTTAAATGCAGTGAATGTGGAAAGTCTTTTATCACCAGCAGTATACTTTATCATCATCAGAGAGTTCATACAGGAGAAAAGACTTATAAATGCACTGAATGTGGGAAATCTTTTAAAACTAAGGCATACTTTCACAGTCATCAGAGAGTTCACACTGGAGAAAACCCTTATAAATGCACTGAATGTGGGAAATTTTTTACCACTAAGGCCCACCTTCACAGACATCAGAGAGTTCATACTGGAGAAAAGCTTTAGAAATGCAGTGAATGTGGGAAATCTTTTACCTGGAGCATTGACCTTCATCATCATCAGTGTTCACACAGGAAAAAAGTCTTATCAATGCAGTGAATGTGGGAAATCTTTTGCAGGTCGCAATGGTCTCCAATAATATCTAAGTTCTTACAGGCGAAAAGCCTTATAAATGCATTAACTGGGAAATTTTATACCAGTTTCACCAACCTTCACCATCATCAGACAGTTCATACAGGAGAAAATGCTTATAAATGCAGTGAATGCAGACAGTCTTTTACAACTAACTCTCACCTTCATTGTCATCAGAGAGTTCATACACGAGAAAGTCGTAATGAGTGTAATTAATGTGAGATATCTCTCTGCCTAATTTGTAAATTTGCTTTGCACTAAAGAGTCCGAATATGAAAAATTTCTTCGATGTGTTGAAAATGTAGTTTCTTCGTTAGGAGTTAACAATTGTATAAGAAAATGTGTGAAGTCTCATTGCTCTGAATTTTATATCATACATTTAATCACCTACATTATGTAACGTACCTGCAACTATTTTTGCTGTGCTGTTTTTTTGTTTGTATGTTGTAACCATATGTATCTATGTTGGACTGTTTGACATACAGAGCTATCTTGCCAGGTCTATGTCATTGCATATTTATGTTGCTGAAGTTATTTCACCTGAACCACTTATAAAGGCCCCTACAGATGGCCTCAATCACCATCTTCATGGGCCCAGCGAAGCTAACTCTGTTGTCTAATTTGTTGAAGTAAATTAGAAATACCTGGACCCTTAGTGTTACTTGTTTCTCTGTCGTGAGTTACCACGTAGGACTGGTTACTGTTGGCCCCAGTAAACATAATCTTGCAGAGGACCTGCCATTTTCAGGGACAAGCTTTCCCTTGATGCCATTGATGAACTTATTGAGTGCCTAAGTGACCAATGAAAGAACTGCCAGTCTCACGGCTCTTTCTTTGCAAAATAATGAAGGTTTTCCCCTAAGACTTCTTTAATGTTGGGCATTCAATTGACTCTATGGGTTAGTTTCTAAGGAGATTTGGGCTCTCCAAGCATGATGACATGAAAAATTTATCTGAGGTCTCAAACATTTTTGCCCTTGGGGGAAGACTGTGGTGCAGGAATTAGCTCAGCAGTTTTTGCCAAATACATTGCTGCCCATAATTTCCCAGGAAACACTGTAGTCTCTCTAGTCCTCACGTGAATCTGGATGCATTGAGACAGAGAGATCACTCCAAAGAGCGTGTAGCTGTGACAACCTCAAGTATGTTTTCTAGCAGCTTGAATGTTTTTCTTGTTTTCAAGGAATGCTAAGACATTTGAAGGGAACCTCCTGTCCAGGTCTTGCAGAGGGCCATGTGCCATAATGCCTACTATTGCATGGGTGATGGGCACTGGTTTCAGGACCACTGCAGTGAGTGGAAACCGTTTCACTGCAGAAACACTAACCTAATTCCTGTTGGACCAGACTGCAGCCCAGTAGATGGAATGGTCTTCATCTAAACCTGCAACAAGAAATTTTTTTGAGGGAAAGACTATAGGAGCCATGTGTACACAGATCTGAGGGACATCTGGGTATGTTTATCTTCTGTGGAGCTGTCATTGTCCTTGATTATAATCAAGATGTTTTCTGTCTTCCTGTAGCTTCTCAGATGTTCCCATCAGAGCCATTGGTGCTCTGGCAGCAAAACTAAGAGGAAAACAAAGGGTGTCTTGAATCCAGGGATGTGGCTTTTGTGACCCAGCCAGCATTCTTGTTGGTTTGTGTCCGTGGTTGGCAAACTGCGGCTTGCGAGCCACATGCGGCTCTTTGGCCCCTTGAGTGTGGCTCTTCCACAAAATACCATGTGCGGGTGTGAACGTACAGTGCAATTGAAACTTCGTGGTGCATGCGCTGAAGTCGGTTTTCGGCCTGGGCGAGTCTGTTTTGAAGAAGTACTGTTGATATTTGGCTCTGTTGACTAATGATTTTGCCGACCACTGGTTTGGGTGAAAGTACTTCATTGTTCGTTACATTTACTGTCAATGAAATGAGACTTGCCCAGAGGGCATAAGAATGTGGATTGAATATAGAGTTGAAAAACCTGTTGTTACAAAATAAGTGAATGTACATTTCTTTTATCTTGAGCCATTTTATAACAGCTGTAATTAGTAAATTATATGTGTTAAATATGCTGTTTTATAAATCTTGACATGTGCATGAAACTGAAACCATCATCTACTTATATAAAAACCATGGGTGGTGTTTATCACGACCATCAGAATCCCCACCAAGCGGAAGGAAGTCAGTTCTGTAGTGGTTGTCTTGGCAACAGCAACGCCCTCCCACCCAACTGTTACCCAGAGCTTTTTCTGGTGAGGGCGGGGATTGAGGCAGGAACCTGCCCTCGGAGCATGGACCCACTGAATTCTGGGTTGGTCTCCCAAGGGCTGCGCCCTCCCTGAGCTGTTTCCCGGAGCTGTCTGGGTATAACATCAATCCAGAAGCTCAACCAAGGCGAAGGAAGTTTGTCTTGCAGCGGTTTCTTGGCAACGGCTGCACCCTCTCCAGAGCTGTTTCCTGGAGCTATTTCCAGTGAGAGCGGGGTTTGAGGCAGGAACCCGCCCTCAGAGCATGGACCCACTGAATCCTGGGTTGTTTTGCCAAGGGATGCACCCTCCCACTCTGTTTTTCCTGTGGCCTGAGGGAAGAACCCACCCTCAGAGCATCAGGAGCACCCAGCAGCAGTCAGTCCTGGATTGTTGAGGTGGAAGCCATGGCATGGGAGAACTCTGGGCCTGGCTCAACAGGCGGTATGGCCAACCTTCAAAGAGGGAGCCCCATTCCTCACAGAATCCGCTGTTGGATAGCTTGCTGTAAGTGGCCTGCCAGCCAGGAACCCCATTCTCCTGCACCCCGGACCCTAACAGGAGGCAGGAGGTAGCCCCTTTCCTCACGGAATCAACAGGTGGCCAGTTTGCTAATTAATTCCCTTTTAAAAAAATATATTTTATTGATTATTTAAAGAGAGGAAGGGAGAGGGATAGAGAGTTAGAAACATCAATCAGCTGCCTCCTGCACACTCCCCACTGGGGATGTACCCGAAACCAAGGTACATGCCCTTGATCGGAGTCGAACCTGGGACCCTTGAGTCCGCTGGCTGATGCTCTATCCACTGAGCCAAACGGGTTAGGGCAATTAATTCCCTTTTAATGTGCATGAATTTCGTGCACCGAGCTACTAGTTCTACTCATAATATTGATCATATCTATGACTGTGTAGTTGCTTCATGACCTCCTTTAATCTGTCCCTGTTCTTCACCACTTTCCTAGTAACCAGGAATTTACATTCCATTTTAATACTTATCTTCGCTTCTTTGAAGTATTTTCCTGCTTTAATTTATATTTCATAAATTCTTGGACATTTATTAAAGATATATTAGTAAATCATCTTTTTATTTTTTTGATAGTCTTTTCGTTTTTGTTAATCCTCACCCGAGGACATTTCTCCATTGATTTTTTTTTTTGGAGAGTTGAAGAGAGAGGGAAAGTCGAGAGAAACATCGATGTGAGAGAAACACATCGATTGGTTGCCTCCTTCATGAGCCTTGACCAGGGCCTGAGCTTGGAAATAGTCTTGAACCAAGGTACTTGCCTTTGCCTGGAATCTAATCTGGGACCTTTTGGTCTGCAGGCCTAGGCTCTATCCAGAGACAAACCGACTAGTGCTCTGGTAGATATTCTTATCTTTGAATATATCACTGTGTGTCCATTTTAGTAAATATTTCGTTATTTCTAATAAAGCTGGTACAAACATTTTTGTATAATTCTTTATATGGATATAAGTGTTATTTACCTTTGTCAGTCGGACATCTTCCCAGGGCTTCAGGGTGCAAAAGGCCACAACCCAGGCTGTAGGATGCCCCCTGTGTGCTGGAATGTTGTGGACCAGGCCTGTAGTTTAAAGATATTCTGTAAATTTGTGTTTCTACCTCACTGTTGTTTGATTGTATTTTTTGTAAGAATTTATAGTGAGCCTTTTCTCAAAGTCTTAAGTGCTTTTTTTGTATTAGAATAATATGTGTTAATATTTTTAAATAAATATTTTAATTGATTTTTAAAATTTTTTTCATTGATTTCATAAAACAAGGGGGAGAGCAAGAGATAGGAACACTATTGTTGAGAACACAGTTGTCATGGCCCAGTTTTTCCATATGGACCCATGAATGAGGAGGTCATGGTTCCATTCACAGTCAGGGAGGATGCCTGTGCACTGGCTTCTTCCCCAGTGTGGGGCATGCAGGAGGCAGCTGATCAATGATTCTCTCTCAGCATTGATTTTTCTCAGTCTCCGTCTCCTTACAACTCCAGCCTCTTCCTGCAGACACCTCCCCAGGTCAGGCACTACTCACTGCCCTGGTGCCCACAAGCACCTTTATCTTTGGGTGCATTTTAGTAAGAAATGGGACCTACAAGAAGCCACTAACTGCTCCCGGGAAGCAGGTGCTGTGGGCACTCAGGTCTCATTGTGGTTGGCCCCACCTGGGATTCTCCAGCAGCCTCACCAGAGCTCCCTGAATCTCCTTTGGCTGAATGTGACATGCAGATGATTGATGGCGCTTACTCTGGCCTTCCAACATCAATAAAAGTAACAAGCTGACTACTTGTTGCCAGGATTGCAGGGTTAGATTTTTGAGCATTTTCTCTTTTAAGTCTCACAAATTCTTTATATGGATATAAGTGTTATTTACCTTTGTCAGTCGGACATCTTCCCAGGGCTTCAGGGTGCAAAAGGCCACAACCCAGGCTGTAGGATGCCCCCTGTGTGCTCAACAACCTGGACAAGTAGAAACTCATATCAACTTCCTCAACCTATTCAGTATCTGAGAAATGAAGTCAGCTCTCCAAGTTTACACCACAGACAAGTGTCAGATTCAAAAGCTGGATGTTAACCCATTGTTGACTCCAGGTCAGACACAGTCTCTACCACTGATGTGCATCACTCACTGTTGCAGGTACAGTCTGAGGAACAGGGTGGCTCAGCTGCAGCTCCTGTTCATGGTTGCAGTTATGCATTTCATCCCATTCCCTTGACACCCTTGGCCTCACCTTGTTCAGGGCAATGGCATCATTTCTCACGTGCAGTGGTTTTTCCTGGGAACCTGCTTTCAGAGTGAGCTGCTGTTGGTCTGCCTCCGCTTTGATCCCAGAGCAGAGTTTGACCCACATGAGACCTGGGAAATTTGGGCTGGGTCTCTGTACCTTCGCCCACATGTTGGGTGTCATGCAGTGCCCCCATCCACTGCGATGAATTTCTTTTTTTAAAATCTTTATTGTTCAGATTATTACAGAGTTTCTCTTTTTTCCCCCCATAGCTCCCCTCCACCCCGTTCCCACTACACCCTCCATCCTCAAC